GTGCCGTGGACTGCCAAAAGAACCAATAGATCTGTTTTGGAAGAAGTGCAACCAGAGTGCTCCTTGGAGGCCAAGATGGCTAAGCTTCGTCTCTTGTCGGGGACTAGCCTTGACATAGGTGTTGGATTCACGAGTGTTTGGTTCATGAGGAGGGAAGATCCGGTGGCGATAGGGATAGCACAAGAATACACAGAAAAACAGAAGGAAAGAGATAAAGAGACACCCCAAAGCCAGGGTGGATACATTACTGGCGTCAAGCAGCTCTGGCATGGTGAACATATTAACCATGAGGGCAGTAAGGTCCCACATGGCAAACATCTTAGCTAAGCAGGCAGTACGCACCCCTTACTAGCTAGTCAGTAACGCATGCTTAGTCAGCCGCACAGCACATTCTCCACGCTGAACTACACACTTTCGCCGCCTGCCTGTAATGCACGGCCTGAAAGCCATAAGGCACGGCCTGCCAAGCTGTAAAGCACGCCTTCACTGCCTGCCTGTTCGTAATGCACACCTGGGCTGGCCTGCATCTCCATTTTATTTAGGGGAGGAGCTTCACATCAAGCTGGGAGGGACTAAGACAAGGTACCGCTAATATCAGTAATTTTCCAGACACTGAGGTAACTTTACATCGTATTTCGCTGGTTCGAATCCCAGGCCCGCAACTTGGTTTCTCAGGCTCAATTAACACATCTATAGCCCCTGAGCTCAGTTGAGAGAAGGTGAAAGGGAAAAACAAAAGGCTTGGGTGGAGTCCTGCTGTTTTGGCTTCCTGAGCCAGGTTTGCAGGACTGGAGATGCCCAGGTGAATGGGCTGCACCTGGAAAAGGATTAGGGAGGATGGTTTTTTTGTCTATAGAACAAAGAACTGGGAAGTAGCTAAGCTAGTTTCAGTTAATCCTTTGGAGAAAGGCTTGACCTTCGAAACCTTTACAGTCTTCGGCTTTAGGAAAATATTACATTTATCTGTGAACATTAAGGGCTCATGTTTGGAATTAAATAAAAAACGTAACTGAACACTAAGATGAAAAACAATTTGCCATGACTGCCAGTGGCCAGAATTTGTTCCTCAGAGCCTGTGGCCTGCATAGTCGACACAGTCTGCAACAGTCTCTCCTACTTTGGACATATTGTCCGGAGAGAACAGTCGCTAGAGAAGGATGTCATGCTGGGTAAGGTGGAGGGTCAGAGAAAAAGAAGAAGACACCCAACGAGATGGATCAGCCAGGTGACATCATTGATGGCGTCAAGTATGGCGGTGGTAGTGAGGTTGGCCCAGGATCGGACATTGTTTCGTTCTGCTGTGCAGGGGGTCGCTATGAGTCAGTTCTGACTCAATGGCACCTGACAACAACAACAACAGAGAAGAGGTGAGATCCCCTTGAACTGGGAATCACCTCTCGGGTGATGGAATCACCTCGTTATTTCTACCCTTTGGGAGTGTTGGCCCCAGATGGGTCCTTCCTGTATTTTGAAGAAGGTAGCTCAGTGGTAGCCCCAGCCCTTGGTTCTCTTCCAGGTCTTCAAGCTGCACACCAAGCTGGGGATACCCATCCCCTGCGCAGAGCCCGTGCCAGCCAGTCCCAGCCCGGCCCAAGTACCCCGTGCCAGCCAGCCAGCAGTCCCTACTCCCATGAGCTCCCCCAGCCCCAGTGTCTCACCCAGCAGACTGGCACCCAAGAGACCGACGGCCTCAAAGGCCACCTGCACAGGTACGCGTTTCTGGAGTGGCTGGTACCAACGTGCAGCTTCCCCACGCTGGCCTTCCCTGAGGAATCTCCATCCACGCTGTGTGTGTGTGTGTGTGTGTGTGTGTTCATGTGTGTCAGTTCATGTTGTGTGTATGTGTATACATGTGTTTAGATTTGAGAATGAATGGGGTTGGAGTGTGTGGTGTATAGGAATGTGTGTATGTATGTTGCTAAGCGTCATTGAATCTGTTCTGACTCAGTGCTCCTGTTGACAGTTTTCCAGGAGCCACTGGTGAGTCTGAGCTTCTGATCCTTGTGGTTCAAATTTGTGTATAAGTGTGTATGTGTGTGATGGGGACAATGTCAGGGGGAGGGAGTGTCCACTCCCCACGTCCCACCAGGCCGAAAGGGCACAGCATCGTCCTCCTCAATCTGAAGCTCTGAAGGAACCCTTTCCCAGGTAGTATCCGCAGACCTGAACGAGCCGGCTCTTCCCCTGGAGCATGGATGGTGCCTGCAGGTCTCCGGGAACACCACCCTGGCCTGCTAGTGGAATCTCAGTCACTGCCTCCCACCTTGGGCTCCCGGGGAACCAATTCCCTAATGGCAGTGATGTGAGCACCTTGGAGCACCCATCTGCAGCCCTACCTGCTCCTCTCTGGGTGTAGAAACAGCTGGAACCCCTGGACAGTGACAACAACACCAACTGAGCTGGCTGGGGACTCCTGGGGTCCCAAATGGTTTGCACTTGACTGCTAGTATAAAGGCTGGTAGCTCGACACCCCCTTTCCCCCTCCTCCCCGGGCCAGGCACTGCAGAAGACAGACCTGCAGTCCGTTTCCATAAAGATCATTCCTTTCTGCTGAGTCCATTTCAATCTGTAGCGACCCTAACCACAAGGCTGTGAATGTTCTGCAGTGGCACTGAATGACACATCTTAGTCCCTGACACGGGCCCCTCACTCACCCGGGCAGTTGGCCAGTTGGCCAGCTCCACAGTGACACTTTCTCTCAATGAGTCATTCTGGACCAGAGGCAGTGGCCATGACCGAATTCCCTGGGAAGCACAGTTCCCCAAATTCACGAGACCACAGCTCCTGAGTAACACACTTCTTCTTGTCCAGGACCACCCCAGCTGCAGGGCACCCGAAGCCGGCCCGAGGAGGGGATGCCGGGCCCACCCAAGGCAGAGGGCCCGGGCCACGTCAGCCCCCGGGAGCCCTCCGGGGACTGGCATGATGCAGAGCCGGTGGGTCTTGACTACGTGGAAGAGGTAACTCTGCCCACCAGTGGTGATCCAGCGGACCTCAGCGTGTGTCTGTGCTCGGGGCCCTGTCCTTCAGCACCTGTCCCACTGAGACTTCCAACTAGTGCTGTTAGCAGCCCCAACAGATTGCTCCAGCCTCGTTCGAGGGTACTGGGTGGTGAATTGCAGAGAGCACTGAAAATAGGGTACATGAGGCCCGTCAAGGAGCTCCTGGGGGGGCTCACATGGTTACGTGCTCAGCTACAAGTTGAAGGGTTGGCAGTTCAAACCTACCCAGAGGTGTCTCTAAAGATGGGCCTGACAATTTGCTTCCCAAAAGTCACAGGCTAGCAAACCCCATGGCGTAGTTGGACACACGAGGCGCTGAGAGTCACAATCAACTCAACAGCAACTCCCAGCAGTAACCATGAGCCACGGCAAGGTCCAGACAGGGAGAGATGTATGTGGTGGGCAAGTCCCGCCACTCTGTCCACCTTTGGACGCTGAAAGGGGTGAAAGCCTCAGAGCAGCTGGAAGCTGCGCAGAACCTGAGGGCCTCTTCAGCCAGCCCTCGCTACTGGCCTGAGCAGGCGTAGCCTTCGAGGGCGTGCTGGTGACCAGCAGAGCCAGGGCCCAGTTCAGGCCTGCGAGGCCTAGGCCAGCTCCACCTCGAACTTCAAGTGCTAGACTTTTAAACCCCAGCCAGAGCGCCCCACACCACCACCACTCAGACACAAAGCCCCAGAGTGAACAGCTTGCCGTAAGCTGCCTCCTCCACAGCCCGGCCCCCACCTGAATACAACAGCCACACGTGTTTGTTAGGGCTGTCAATCCCATGGGACCAAGTACAACTGCTCCACAGAGTTTCCAAGCTGCTGTCTTTTATGGGAGTAGCTCTCTAGGTCCTCCTCCATCGGAGCCATTGGATGCCTTAGCAGCTCAGTGCTTCACCCTTGTGTAGCGATCCAGCCAAAGAATTTCCCCAGGTTCCCACAGGATTGGACAGTTTCTCACTGGCGTCCATCCTACGCTGCTTCCTCTTTTTCCACACACAAAAGCCCCTAGTGGATGGACTCGCTGCCACCAGACACCCCGCTGATGTTAAGAAGAAACGCAGGAGAGAGATTCTGCCCAGAGATACAATAGATGGACCCGGATCAAAAGAGGGAGAAATGTGGAACATAATATAGTACTCTCAAAGAATCCAGACTTACTGGACTCACTGAGGCTGGCAGAGTCCCCAAGACTATGGCCCCGAGTTACTCTGCAAACCTTGACTCGAAAGTACCCCTGAAGTCACATTTAAACTAAGAAACAGTTTAGCTCACAACATAAATGAGCAACCCTGAGTATTGCGTGCTCCTTTAAAGACTCATCTATATGAGATCCAATGGAAATGGACAACATATTTAAAAGCACAGGGGAGGGGGCCGGGGGCAGGGAATAGCATGGGTGCCGACAGAACAGAAATGCCTAGTATTGGCACAATGAGAAGAATGTACCCAAGTCACTGATTTTTCCATCTAGAAATTTAATGGGAGGGGGCCCATGTATTTTCACCAAAAAATAAAATAAATACTAATTTGTTATTTTTTTAAAAAAACACTTTGGGTGCTGAGAGAGAGCAGCATCTGAGGGTGATTGATGAAGGGGTCAGGATGGATGGGGAGGAGGCAGGCTCAGCTGGAGAAGCATGTTGGGGTAAGGCAGGGGGGCCAGGGTTGGGGAAAACAGGGTTCCTTCAGACACGAAGCAGCGAAACAGCTGTCCCTTGGGCCGTGACCTTGCCCCTGGGGGAACTGTTGGGGCAGACAGAACTGTAATGTGCATGGGGACGGGACTGGCATGGGGTTGAGGCCCGGATCTCCCCTGACACCGGTGTGTCCTCCGGTTGCAGGTGCATAATGAGGAAGGGAAGACAGTCCGCTTCCACTGCAAACTGTGTGAGTGTCGCTTCAACGACTCCAATGCCAAGGACATGCACGTGCGGGGGCGGCGGCACCGGCTGCAGTACAAGGTGGGCACAGGACCAGAGGAACCCGGGAGGGCTTTGAGGGGCTGGGGCCAAGTGGTACAAATGGTTAACACCCTCATCTGCTCGCTAACAAGTTGGAAGTTTGAGTTCACCCAGAGGAGCCTCGGAAGAAAGGCCTGGCTATCTACTTCCCTAAGTCAGCCCTTGACAGCACCATGAGCAGCGTCCAACCTGACGCCAAGGGGCCGTTGTGAGTCTGCATTGGCTCCAAGGGCAGCTGGTTTCTGGTTACACACGTAATAGGTATTTACTCTCCAGAGGCTGGAAAGTTCCAGAATGTAAGGATAAGACAACAATCACTCAGATTCCACCATCCTCTAACTTGTGTTAATGTTTCAGCAATACATGCATATTTTAAAAAAAACTCACCGCCATCAAGTCAGCTCCGACTCACAGCAACGCTGTGCACAACAGAACAAAACACGGCCCGCTTCTGCGTCATCCTCACAATTGTTAGACTTGAACCTGCTGCTTCTGCCATGGTGTCAAGCCATCTCATTGGGGGTCTTCTTCTTTTGCACTGACCCTCCATTTTACTTAGCATGATGTCCTTCTCCAGGGACTGAACCTTCTTGATCACATGGACGAAGTATGAGATGAAGTCTGGCCATCCTGCCTTCTTAAGGAGCTTTCTGGCTGCACTTCTTCCAACACATTTTTTGTTCTTATGGAAGTCCATGGTAGTTTGAATATTCTCCAACACTGTAACCCAGATGCATCAATTCTTCTATGATCTTCCTTATTCATTGTCCGATTTTCACATGTACATGAAGCTGTTGAAAATACCATGGCTTGGGTCAGACCCTATAGGACAGGGCAGAACTGCTAGTCCTAGGATTTCCGAGACTATAAATCTCTAGGGGAACAGACAGCTTCACCTTTCTCCTGAGGAGCAGCTGGTAGATTTGAACTGCCAACTTTGTGGTTAGCCACCCCATGGTTAACCCACCGCATCCTGCATGCAGAGAGGATCTATGAACATGTAAGGAGTCAAAATGAAATGCTAACTGCCTAGATGGTTTTAGCTCCTGGTTTTGTATTATTTTGTTACCTTTATAAAGTGGGAACGGGGTATCTGATCTCCAGAGTGTCTGATGCCCACAGTGGGTTCGGCTGTAGACTATTCTGTGCCTGACTGACAACGGGTTCTCTCACACCGTCTCCAGTCATTGGAGCTTTAGGTTGTTTCTGGGTTTTCTTACAAACAGTACTTCAATGAATATGTTTTTAAAAGCAAAACAGCTTCATTGAGTTACGGTTCACATTTCACCCACTTAAAGTGAACAATTCCACAGTTTTTAGTATAGTCACAGTTTTATGCAACCATCTCCACTAACTCCAGCACATTCTCTCCCCGCCTCCCCCACATAAGCTGTCATACCCTGTTCCCTCCACCCCAGGCCCTGGTGGTGGTGGTTAAGTGCCATGGAGTCGGTTTCGACTCATAGCGACCCTGTACAGGGTTTCTGAGGCTGTAAATATTTACGGGAACAGAAAGCCTCATCTTTCTTCCGCGGAACAGCTGGTAGTTTTGAACTGCTGACCTTGAGGTTAGCAGCCCAATTCATAACCACTATGACAGGCAGCCATTAATCCACTGTCTGTCTGTGAATTTGCCTGCTCTGGACATTTCACACAAATGGAGTCAGACACGTGAAGCCTTTGCATCTGGTGTCATTCTCTGAGCATCGTGTTTTCAGTGCCAAGTTGTAGCTTTGATCAGGACTGGGCCCTTCTTTATAGCTGAGTAGTATCCTGTGCCATGCCTGGACCACATTGTGCTGCTCCACCATCTGTGGGTGGGCACTTGGGGTAACCCACCCATGGTTGTTCTTTACACAACACTTTACTGGGTGTGATGCTGGAAGCAAGCCCTAGAGGTAAACTGTACAAGGAGTAGCGTGCTGCTGCAAGCCCCCACGGCTGGGCCTTGCCCACGTGCTGGGCACCCTGGGAGCGAGCATCTGTTTGTGAGAATCATTTGAGAGTGTTCAGTGGTCCCAAGGGATTGCTGCTCACCAGCCGTGTGCCTCATGGCCTTCTTGCCCTTCCCTGGGCTCCCGCGTGTGGTGGGGTGCTCACTTGGAGCCACTCACAGCTCAGCCCGAGCAAACCCCACCTCCTCCTCCCCTGTCCCCATCACATTTGGGAAATAGAATTGTCAGACGTCAGAGGATTCAAAAGCAGGAACGTGTCAGTTTGGAGGCTTTACCTGGCTACATATACCCACGTATCCATATCCACACACATGTATCTGTACACATACATGCACACATATCCACATGTGGGCACACAGCCACATCTCCACACAGATGCACAAACATCAACATATATCTGCACACACACATCATAGGTATGCATGCATGTCCACATACACACATTCTCACGTATCCATACACACGTGCATACATACACACATACATGAAAGGGTTTCAAAAAGTTGATGGGAAATTGAATTAAGATGTTGGAATATTCCTATGAACTTTGCGAAGCCCCTTTGTACAAGTTCACTACACATGCATGCATACGTACACATCACACACGAACCCATACACACAATAACCAGACATACACATGCATATGTGTATGCATGGACATGCAGATCCACGTGAACATCTGTGTGTACACATGTCCTCTGGCAAACACACATATGCATGCATGCACCCATGTGCATGTACATGAGTGGACAGACATATGTGAATGCCTGTGTGTACACACATATGGACTTGCACACATACCCAAACGTGTGTGCGTAATGCACATGTGAACACCTGCACATACATGGACTTGCACGTGCAAACACCTGAACACACACGTGTGCAATGCATGGACACATGTGCATGGACTTCTGCATACACAAACATATAAAATGCATTCACATGCCCTCACACATGTACACGTGCTCAGATCCACATGCATGTGTGCACGTACACAACTCCTGAACATTCATACATGCCCCCCACATGTATGCACATGCACAGATACACATGAGCATCTGCATGCTCACACAGGGGTCTCTGATCCCATTGCTTTTCCTTTGTGTCCCAGAAAAAAGTGAACCCTGACCTCCCCATTGTGGCAAAGTCCGGCACTCGGGTCCACAGGCTGCTGGAGGACAAGATGCGGAAGCAGAGGCAGAAAGAGCTGGCGCGGCGGCACAAGGAGGTCCAGCGCTGGCTCGCAGAGATGAGGTGCGCCCACAATGGGCCCCATGGGAGGGGGACCCTCTGGTCAGTCCCCTCCTCCCGCTCTTTAATCTGAGACCAGATCCCATGCTGCTGGTTGGAAAGCCCAACATGTCTCCTAGCGCCAGCCACGTGGGTGCCCACGTAGGTTGCTGTCGGCCTGCCATCGAGTCCATTCAAGGTTAGTCTCCCTCCGTTACTTGTCATTCCTTGGCTTTGAGCCCTGGACACTGGGGCTGGGGGAGAATTAGAGGGTCTTAGCTGGCCTGGGTATCGCAACAGATAAGCACGTGCCTGCTAACTGAAAGGTTGTCGGTTTGAACCCATTTGGCTGCCCCATGGAAGAAAGGCCTGGTGATCTGCTTCCATTGAGCTGGCAGCTTAGAGAACCCTAGGGCTGTTCTGCTTTGTCACAGGGTGGTTCTGAGTTGGAACTGACTTGACAGTACCCACAACAACATGGGGCAGGCCCCTGACCGCAGAGGTGGCTGGGGACTTGTGTCCTTGCTCACTATGGACGGCCCTGCCCCGTCACAGAGAAGCCTACAACCACTCATCCTACTTGCTCCTCCTTCACCCTCTTCCTTGTTCTGAGCAATTTCACTCCCACGCAAACCAAAGCTCACCGCCAAGAAGTGGGTTCAGACTCCTAGTGACGCTGTAGAACAAAGTGGAACTGCCCCAGAGAGTTTCCGAGGCTAGAAGTCTTTATGGGAACAAACTGCCTCGTCATTCTCCCTCAGAGCTGGTGGTGGGTTCCAACCGCCGGCAGCCCAATGCTTAACCCACAGGGCCACCAGGGCGCCTCGGTTCCCACAGCAGTCTTAGATCTCCCATCCGGACTTTGGTTTGGGGAGGCTGGTGTTAGCAAGCCCGAGCCTGACGTACCAGGGGCACTGGGCAGAGCCAAGAGTTTCCAGGTCCATGAAACGGGAATCCAGGTGTGCCTGCGTCATGGTGTCATGGTGTTCTTGCCAAGTCAGGCCCTTTGTCCCCATGTCACACATGCCTGCATGTGCCCCCCCTCCCCCCGTGGGCTACTGGGTTCTGCCGGACATGTCCAAGGCACCACGGTAGCTCAGTGAAGGGGACACACAGCAGGAGACGTAGCGCCTGCGTGGATGTTTTCGGGGGCCACGAGGTTCGTGGATTTCTGCCGCTGGGGTGACAGCTGTCGTCCGTCCCTCTCCCTGTCTCCCTCCCCCCCCCCCCCAAGACACTATCAGGAAGGGTGCTGGCGGCAGCGTGGGGCGGGGTGGCCATTCCCGGATGAGCACCTGCGCTGGACCACACCCACCTATGGGCCGGCCCGGGGTGCCCGCCACGCCCCTCCTGGTGGGTCTGCGTCCCCCGCAACATGAGGGTGGGAGTGCCACAGGATGACGATCTTGCACTCCCCCAGCACCATCCCGCACCTCACTGGAAAGATCCAGAACATTCTATGAGCACCCAAGATGCCCACGTGGTTCTCAGGGCTGAGAGGGTTTCCTTTCCAGGCCCAGGGGGACTAAGGCATCCAGCTCGAGCCCCCACCTCTGACCTTCAGGACCCACCCATGGTCATCCCCAGCTGTCCCAACAGCCTGGCTCCCATGCTGCATTCCAACTTGGGCACCACGGTCCACAGGCCCCATTAGCTTGGCATTATGCTCAGGTGTGGGAGGCACAAATGTTTTGCCCTCAACTAGTAACCTAAAGGTTGGCAGTTTGAACTCATCCAATAGCACCGCGTAAGAAAGTCCTGGTGATATTCTTCCATAAAGAGCACAGCCACAAAAACCCAGGGCCACTTGAGTTGGAATCGACTAACCAGCGATTGACTTATTTCTTTGGTTTCTGGGAAGATGCCCCCCTCTCCTGCACCTGCTGGGCTTAAAGCCTGTGATTCACTGTCAGAAGGGGGTCAGCAAGGACCCCCACTCAGCCCTGAGCTTCCATGGCCCTTGGGGTTAGTATAAACCCTTGGTGAGACCAAGGGTACCTCACAGCTCACATGTTGGGCCTTTGTGCCCCCTTAACCACCTGCTGCCCCTGAAACTGGCATGTCTCCGCAGCCCCCTCATAGGCCCCCCTGTGGCCCTGACGCCTCTGTCCCATGACCTGGATTCAAGACCTCCCCCACAGCTCACGCAGCGGCCTGAGACCAGCGAGGACCGGCAGGTCATGTGGAAGCACAGTACCATCTACCCCATGGAGGATGAGCTGATGGCTGTGCAGAGGGTCATCTCTCACTCGGAGCGCGCCCTCAAGTTGGTGTCTGACTCTCTGGCCCAGGAGCAGGCGGCCAGCACAGAGGACAAGGGCAGTGAGTGCAGGTAATGGGCCGAGTAAGGACAGGCGGTCAGTGGATGTGCCCTCCTTCCCGGCTGGTCTGGTGGTGGAGGACAGAGGGGCTGAAGGCCTGTCAGCTGCATCCCTGGGCGGCTGAGCGCTCCGTCTCTGCACAAGATTTACCTGCTGCCAGAGATGGGGGTGTGTGGCGTGGGGGGGGGACGGACAGAGGAAGTCAGTGCTAGATCCAGCGGGATTGTCTTGGAGTAGGACTGCTGAGTCTTCCCAGGTCTGGAGTCTAGTGGACCTTCCAGTCACAGAGGGGTCTGGGCAGCATGTGGTAACCGACATGTTGGTTCTGTCTGTTGGAAGCGCACCTGGAGTTGTAGTTCAGAAAGGATGAAGTCAGCTCGGTGAGCCTCAGTTTCCCCATCTTCAAAAGGGGGATGAATCCAACCCAGACTCACCCCTTCACATGTCCCTGCGTGTCACCGTACTGAGATACCGTGTCACCATGAGACACCATCCCACTCCTGACTTGCCCCTCCCAGTGTCCCTGGGTGTCACCATGTTTACCACATGTCACCATGAGACACTGTCCCACTCCTGACACGCCCCCTCCCATGGCCCTGCAAGACACCTTCCCTTTGCATTATTATTGATTTTCTTCATTGTGGTTGTTCACCACCATCAAGTCAGTCCCCTTCTCATGGCAGCCCCCCACAACAGAGCGAAACACAGCCCGGTCCTGGGCTCTCCCCATGGTCAGTTGTGGACAGGGCCGTTATGATGCCCGGGGTTCTCATCAGCTGAGCTCCGGAAGCCCATCGCCTCGTCCTCCTGGGTCTGGACACTCTGGTCATCATCCTAGCACTAGGAGCTGTATCTCCTTAGCACTTGGAAAGAGGGGGTTCCTGTTTATTTTTAAGTTTTTGACTTGGAAAATTTCTAAAGTGGCTCTGGTGGTGCAGTAGGATAAGCACTAGACTGCTAACCGCAAGGGCAACGGTTCAAACCCACCAGCCACTCTGCGAGAGAAAGATGAGGCTTTCTGCTCCCGTAAGGATTTACAGCCTCGGAAACCCAAGACAGGGCTGCTATGAGTGGGAACCGACTCCGCGGTAGCGATTTGAGTGAACGTGCTGTTGTGGAAAATTCCAAACACACAAAGCACAGCAGTGTGTTGTTAGTGTTGTGAGTTGCCATCAAGGCAGCGACCGTGTGTGGACAGAAGGGACTGCTGCCCAGCCTTCCGACATCTGCTTCCCACTGTCGTAACCACTCTGTCCACCTATCGCCTGTGTTGTCGTTGTGTTAGGTGTTGTCGAGTTGATCCTGACTCACAGCGCCCCCTCCCCCCCCCATGACAGAGTAGATCTGCCCTATCAAGTTTTCTAGACGGTCACGTTTACGGGAGCAGATTGTCCATCCGAGCCTCTGTGTGGGTTCAAACTGAAGACCTTTCGGTTAGCAGCCAAGTGCTTAGCCACCGCACCACCAGGGCTCCTATTCATTGGCTAGAACCAAACCAAACCCTGTGCCACCGAGTCACCTGACTCCTAAGGGCTCTACATAGGGTTTCTGAGACTGTGTGTCTTTATGGCAGTCCAACACCTAACCCACAGTGCCACCATCGAGCGCTATACAACCATCACTTGGCCGCAACAATGGCCAACCTGACCGCCCCCTCCCCGCCCCCACCCTGGTGATTGACAGCAGTCCCCTGACTTTAGTAAAGATGGAGGGATGGATCTCAAAAAAGAGGGACTCTTTAGGGTTTATCAAAACCACGATGCCATCTTCCTACTGGGAACAATTCAACAGTAAATTCTTCAATGCCGCCAAATCGTAGTGCTGAAGATTCCAGAATCCTCCACAAACCAGCCCCAGCTCACAGCAGCCCATGTGTGTCAGAGTAAAACAGCTCCATAGAGCGTTCGGTGGCTAGAGTTTTAAAGTTGCTTGGCAAGCCTTTCTTCTGAGGGGCTTTATTATTATTAACTATTTGAATTCGGATCCAAGTTGACTGATAAAGCCCTGAGTCTCTTCTATCTCTGGCCCTCTCCCTCTCTCCCTCTCATTTCCTTCCCCTCCAGTTCTCCATGGGGGAGTCTGGGGCCTAGCCTTGTAGAAGGTGCCTTGTCTGGGTTGTTCTGCGGGTATATCGGTGATGCTATGCCAAGCACTCTTCCAGCCTCTATGTTTCCTGAGACTAGAGGCCGGGTCAGGTCCCAGCTGGCCAGCTGAAGTGCAGTTGAGATACCAGCCCCTGTGCCCTATGGGTTGGGTAAGTTTAGGAGACTTGGTCTCAGACTGGGTCAGAGCAAGTGGGTCTGTGGTTAGGAAGTAGACAAAAAATAGGGAAGCAGGTGACCGTCGGTCCCAGGATGCCACAGTGAAGTGGGGGTTGGAGAGGTTGAGGAGGAGCAAGGCCGCAGACTAGGAAGCAGGCTGGTACCAGCTATCAGAGGTCCAGAAAGCAGGGGCCGGCCGCCATCCGGGTCCTTGTCCACTGTGGTTGGTGCTGTTAGGTGCCCTGGAGTCGATCTTGACCCCCGTGTGACAGAGCAGAACTGCCCCCACGCGGCTCTCGAGGCTGTCATCATACTAGGATGGCACAAATGGTTAAGCACCAAAGGTCAGGTCGGCGGTTCAAGCCCACTGGCTGCTCTGTGAGAATAAAGGCCTGGCAACCTGTGGGCAGTTCTGCTCTGTCAAAGGGGTCGCTGGGAGTCGGAATTGACTGAGGGCACTCACCAGCAGCAATCCGTGCCAGTAGCCAGTTCTAAGGGTCAGTGTGTATGCCGACAACTGCTAGGCCCCACCCTGAGTGCTTTTGTTGGCCACACTGCAGTTTCTCTCTTTCCTCCCAGCACCTGCGTTCTGAGGACAGGCCTCAGCCCCATTTCACAGGTGAGGAAACTGAGGCCCAGCGAGGCTAGGCAAGTTGGTGGGGAGCCAGAGTGAACAGCGGCCTGCTAGGCTCCCATTATCCCCACCCTTCTCCCCCACACCTTCCTGACACCCCTGGCACCATGTTCACCCCTACACCTGTCCCCACCCCCATGCCGTACCTTCTCCCCTTGGTTCTCACAGCAGCGCAGCCCCTACCACGCGGGTCCTGAAAGGTGTGATGCGTGTGGGCCTCCTGGCGAAAGGCCTCCTCCTTCGGGGCGACAGGCACGTGCACCTGGCCCTGCTCTGCTCTGAGAAGCCCACACACACCCTGCTGCGTAAGATCTCCGAACAGCTGCCCAGGCAGCTCCTGGTAAGGCCAGGTCGCCTTCTCTTCTCCCACACCCCAGGGTTCCCCCGGCCCGTCAGACCGTCCGCCTCACAGTGACCCCTGTAGGTCAAAAGTGGGCTCTGTAGGGTTTTCAATGGCTGATTTGTCAGACAGGTTGCCAGGCCTTTCTTCCTAGCTGCCTCTGAGTAGACTTCAACTGGCAAGCTTTCGGTGAGCAGCCAATCATGTTTGTCGTTTGTACCATCCAGGAACTCCTCTCAGGCAGAGGGTAATCTTTTCTTTGTTTTCCAATGCACTTTTAAGGAGTAAGAGTCATTAGAAATGAATAAGTATAAACAAGTCGAAAAGCGAGGCAGGACGCCATGCGAGTTTCTTTAGAAGGTGGTGGTGGTGTTGGGTAGTCAGATGAATGTGGCAGAGTAGTAGGCTGCCATCTTTATAGGAGCAGATGGTCACATCTGGTGGATTTGAACCGCTGACTTTTCCGTTTGCAACTGCGTGCTTAACCACTGTGCTACCAGGGCTCACTTTCATAGCGTTCAGGTGAGAACGTGGAAACATCTAAAGGTCGCACCCATGGAGACGGTGACTTATGTTCCTTCCTGTTACCCGTCCAACAGAACTCAACCCAACCCAGTCCTTGAAATTGGTACACAAAGCATTTACGGCAATTGCACTGGGCTTCGTGTCTGCAGGACCAGAAAGGCACAAAGCCACATTTAGGATTGTGAATGGTGGTGGGTTTTTTGCCTGGAAAACGGTTCCTTTGGGCTTTTCTGAATCATTGTTGTTGCTACGTGCTGTCGAGTCGGTTCCGACTCATATTGACCCGATGTACCACAGAACAAAATACTGTCTGATCCTGCACCAGCCTTAAGCCCATTGCCGACTGCCACTGTGCCAATCCATCTTGTTGGGGGTCTTCCTCTTTTTCTCTGATCCTCCACTTTACCAATCATGATGTCCTTCTCCAGGGACTGGTCCCTCCTGATAATATGTCTGAAGTAGGAGAGACAAAGTCTCCCCATCCTGGCTTCTAAGGAGCATCCTGGCTGAACTTCTTCCAACATAGATTGGTTTGTTCTTTTGGCAGTCCGTGGGACTTCCAATGTTCTTCTCCAACACCACAGATCAAAGGCATTGATTTTTTTTGTCGTTTCATGTTCTTTTTTTTTAAGTTTTTATTGTGAATTAAGTGAAAGTTTACAGGACAAATCACCAGATCATCAGTTTTACTTAAATTAAACAAATCATACACCTTGTTTCATTACAGTGATTATAATCCCCTCCATGTACCATCAGTTAACAGTATTTCTCTCTATTCACTTCAGCTTTTTTTTTCACCAAACACTCAGGCATATATATAGTAATTTACACCACCGAAGGGCACATTCTACAAGTCTGCCTCCTGGCTACCAGCTCTCCATCCCTCTCTTCCCATGAATCTAGAGTCCTCAGCTGCTCCCTCTCTGCATGCCCCCATCTCTGCCTTCATCTCTGGTGTTGCTTCTCTGGATAAGGTCCCACATTCTGTTTGTGCTCTTCTCCCTTGATGGTCCTAGGGTCTTCTGTTTCTGGACTGTAAGATTAACTACTCCCCTGTTTTTGTTACAAAACTTCTACCTTTACAATTGTGACAGTCGCAATTAGTCATGATAACAATCCCTCACTATGGAATCCTAAGAATCTTATCCCCATCTCTTTTTACCAGACCCATCTAGATAAGATGACAACTATTCAGTAGGCACTCTTTCTTCCCTCGCACACTCTTAAACTAAACTACCTCTTGAAACCTTGTAAGCCAGTCACTTTGTGCCTTTATTGCCCTCTCGTTTTAGGTAGCCAATGTCTAAGTTGCCCGTCCCTATTCACCCTGTGTACAGAGGGGATAGCAGTGATACTTGATGTGAAGACTCCTTCTCTCTCTCTCTTGGTACTTAGAGCTACTACCTCCATGAGTATAAGTCGAGTTCATCAAATTGTAGTATTTTACCCTAGTTTCCTTGATCAAAAATTGTTCTTTTAATCTTCCTCAAGTTCTGATTATCAAGCCATCGAGGCCAGGTCAAATGGGTACTGTCTGCAGTTTGGGTGTTCTTGTGCATCTCCCATCACTTCACATCAGCTGGATGCTTCACTCTCAGCTCTAGCCCTCTGTGGCTATGTCCTTGTCCATGGGCTCAGGTGTCCTCCGGTCTCACCACTTTGGACCAACCAGCCCTTCCTCTTCTCTCTCTCATCTCCCAGTCAGTGGAGTCAATGGACTGTGGTTGAACTCAGCCCATTTCTTCATTGCTGCCTTTCCCCCTCTTCCACTCACCAGGAGACCGGTGTGCTCACCAGCCAGCTTACATGCCTGTTTGTGTGTTCCCTTTGAGTTTCAGTCTTAGAGGGGGGAAATGCATTGATTTTTCTATGGTCTTCCTTATTCATTGTCCAACTTTCACATGCATATGAGGT